CAATGTAGCTTGCCATCACCAGTGTGTGAATGTGTGTGTGAATGGGTGGATGACTGGATATGTAAAGCGCTTTGGGGTCATTGGAGAGACCAAACAGCCACTTCACAAACACATGGCACAACATAGAAGAGCCACCTCCACAAGACAAGACTCAGCAGTCCATCTGCATCTAAAGGACAAAGGTCACTCTTTTGAAGATGCTCACATTTTGGACAGAGAGGACAGATGGTTTGAAAGAGGAGTGAATGAAGCCACTATATGTTCACTATCATAATTGTCAATAGTACATGGTTGTGGTTAAAATATTTGTGGTTTAATGCTCCAATAACTAAACAAACTAAAACCCATTTTGTGCCCGTGTACATTGACCTTTGGTTTGTTGCATGTTAATCTCCTCCAACAGGAGGAAGTTTTTTAACTGGAGCAGAAAAGCCCTAAAGCTGAACATCCGTCTTTTTTCTCCCATATTTTCTTTCTGTTTTGTGTGCTAAACACTACATCTTATAAAGAGCAGTTAATATTTCCCAGCTGAATTGGCCTCTATTCATTGACTAATTGAGGAATCACTGCAGCTCCAATGTAGTTTTTGAATTTGACAACTGGGGGAAAAAAAATACCTTATGCAATCTTCTAATTGGTGTGAGCTGTATTATAGTCAAAGATACACTTAGTGCCTGGAAATATGCCAAGATTGCAAAAAACATTTTAGCTGCTCATTATAGTTCACACACTCATAACTGCCCTTTTGAAGGAAAAGTGTTATTGTGTGACAGTTTTAAGGCAAAGGAGGGTGGGACTGACAAAATGTATTGGGGACTTCCCCCTTCAAGCATGACACTTGGTATTTGATACTTTTGCTCCCTTACAAGAATAAACACAATTCTTGACTGTTGCTCAATTCTTTCATTTTTATTGTGTTTATTTATTGTGTTTTATTGTGACATTTGTCCCAATATAGGATATAAAACAGTAATAATAAACAACATAGCTAAACAATGAACCAACAGAACAGGAGCATACAGAATTTAAAGCTTCATGAAATATAAGATCAGAGTTTCCCTGATACAATTAATAAAATAAACTGAACAAACAATGCTGAGAGTTCTTTACTGCTCTAGACAGAAAAATAATGGCCTGAATATGGATCATCTTTTCACTCACGTGTTTAGCGATGACTCACAGCTGTCCCGCATTTTCTTAGTGTGAACATTTGAACGCGCATGAATTCTCATGTGCTTCTTTAATTTTATCCTCTGGACAAACCTTTCCCCACAGATGCTACAAGGATACGGTTTCTCACCTGTGTGAATTCTTACATGACAGTTCAAATGCGATTTCTGAATAAATCTTTTCCCACAGGTGTTACAAGAATACGGCTTCTCACCTGTGTGAATTCTCATGTGTCTTTTGCATGCTGATGGGTGAGCAAATCTTTGACCACAGGTGGTACAAAGATATGGTTTCTCACCTGTGTGAATTCTTATATGACTTTCCAGTTGTGACTTCTGAATAAATCTTTTCCCACAGGCATTACAAGAATACGGTTTCTCACCAGTGTGAATTCTCATGTGTGTTTTTAATGCTGAGGAGACAGCAAATCTTTTTCCACAGAAGCCACAGGAATACAGCTTCTCAACTGTGTGAATTCTTGTGTGTTTTTTGAACACTGATGATGCAGCAAATCTTTTCCCACAGGTGCTACATGAATACGGCATCTCACCAGCGTGAATTCTCATGTGTTTTTTGAATGCTGATGGGCTAGCAAATCTTTTTCCACAGGTCCTACAAGAATACAAGTTCTCACCTGTGTGAATTCTCATGTGTGTTTTGCATGCTGCTGGAAGAGCGAATCTTTTACCACAGGTGGTACAAGGATATGGTTTCTCACCTGTGTGAATTCTTATATGACGTTCCAGTTGTGACTTCTGAATAAATCTTTTCCCACAGGCATTACAAGAATACGGTTTCTCGCCAGCATGAATTCTCATGTGTGTTTTTAATGTTGATGAGGTAGTAAATCTTTTCCCACAGGTGTTACAAGAATACGGCTTCTCACCTGTGTGAACTCTTAGATGTGTAGTCATTTTGTATTTATTCTGTAAACTTTTTCCACACACGTCACATTGTACAGACTTGTTCTTTGTGTCAGTTCTACTTTGACTCACTGACACAGGACTGTTGTCTACTCTCTGACTGTGATGTCTCTTCTTCAGCTCTGCATTTCTAGTAGATCCAGAGTCCACATGCCCATTTTCTTCATGATATCTGCTCTCTGCTTCAGGAGAGCTGTGAGAAAGGAGCTGCTCACTGTTTGGTTCTGGTTCACTGTGGTGACTTTCCTCATAAGTAGGAGTCTTCATGAAGGTATCACTCTCCTGCTTCAGTCCAAGCTGCTCTCCCTCCGAATTGCTGCACAGTTCCTCCTGTTCCTCTTTAATCTGTGGAGGCTCTGGGTCCTCCTGGTCCAGACTAGAGTTCCTCTCCTGGTTAAAGACCCGCTGTTCTGTAAGAGCCTCTTCTTCCTCAATAGCATGTTGGTGTAGGACATCTGAAGGCACAAGGAAGAAAAATGATAGCAAAACAAACATTTGCGAAAATGTTTACTGGTCTGAACCATAAGCAGATCTCTACATAGTAAGCATGTTGCTCACACATACCACTAAAATTTAAAGTGTACAAATGTGAAAAATTATTAAGGCACTGATGGAAATGTTTAGTTCTGTCACGGTGTGTGCAGGCAGGAGACGAGGACCCAAACGCAGAACTCATAGAGGCAAAGGTAGAGTCAAAACAGCTTTAACCCTTTAAAGCCGGTTGGAGAGGGCACGCTCAGTTTTGCGTAACTATTTTAAAATCCCGGTAGCACTGCAACCACGTGAGCTAGCGCAACAATTTTTTTTGCATACGAAACCGGAGAATTTGTACTTACATCTTATGCCATCAGCTTGTCCTAATTCACAGTTCCTTCCACATATAGCTTTGCAAAAACTGCATAAAAAGCGCTTGCAGGAACAAAAACAAAATATTCCAGAAACACACTTTGCCGATCAGCTGTTCATAACACTTCCTACATCTATCAGCGTGAACTATCGCATGTCCACTAGGGCTGCCACAAACGATTATTTTGATAGTCGACTAGTCACCGATTATTTTTGCGATTAGTCGACTAATCAAATCATCATCCATTGAACGTAAAACGTACAGCTTATTGCACCAGCAGCATCTGCTCATATATAACTATCATTAGCTTACAGCTTTAAGTGTTTAAGGTATGTGCTAACTAAAAATAAAGACAAGATGATAGTTTATTACATTTTAGTTTAATAAACTCCTTGCTATCTAAAATATAACAGGACACCGGAGTATATTCTCGAGCATCTCACACTTCTGATAATCAGCTGTCTGCTTGACGTTTATTCAGCTGTGTAAAAACTATAACTTTAATCTCAGCCAAACCGATTTACTCAGGAACAAATAAAATACTAAAAAAGCCAAACAATAACATTTTTAAGTTATCTAAGTGACTTATATATGTTTAAAATGAGTAGCGAAAGGCGGCGGTGGGTTTGAAAACGATTTGCCGGGAGTCCGGTGCTCTCACAGCTCTAGTGAGCCTTGCCCCTGGCTAGCTATCGAGCTAGTGGGTAACAGACGTCTCCGAAAACATCGGAGCGCTTTTGAAAATATGTGGTGTCTTGATAAACTGAGCAGATATTTGAGGTAAACACAGCTACATTCTCGCCTGAAAATATGTTAAATGTTTATTTTGTGACCCAGAAAGAATAATAAGCGTAATATTAAAACTAACTAGCTGCCGCCATTGTTGGAAACTGAGCTGGGCTGTGCTATGAATTTTGGGACACAGCTTCTTCTTCGAGGTTTAACGGCAGCTGGCATCCTTGTACATGCAGTGCTGCCATCTTCTGTTTCAGTCCGTTATTACACTCTTAAATCCTGCTACTTATTCCTGCGTCTTTTGGGATCTTACAAAGCTTCAAACGACGCGTTGACTATTAAATTAGTCATCAACGATTTTGATAGTCGACCTAATCGTGACTAGTCGACTAATCGTGGCAGCCCTAATGTCCACCATGACCTGCCCGAAACCGGAAGTGAAGTCATTTTGCGGAAATGTAGTTTTTTTTACCATCGGGGCCTTATGAGCCTATACTGATGTTTTTTAAAGTTATGTTTGACTTTATGACTTTGTGTCGTTTCTGGGATGCTTAGGACTCATATTGCACTGCTGGAAATATGCTGTCCTGCATATGCTGTTATTTTGCAAATTTGCATTATAATATTTATTTGCATTTTTCCTGCAGTATATGAAAATTGGTGTATTTCAAAAATAAAATTATGAAGACACTCAAAATAAATTTCCTGTGGTAGGAAGCTATTTTGTGCAACTTTTTTGTATTTACAGTTTTGAGGGATAAGCCTCTTAAATTTCTCTAACTACAAATATATGTTAAAAAAACAAAAAAATTCAATTTTTTTTGTAGTTTATTGCACTTTTTTGCAATTTATGTAAGTACTATACACTTAATGCATACATATTATTAAGATTTAGGCTATAATGGTTGTATTGATGTATATCAACTTGAAATGCTCCTAAAAATGGCACTACAGCATGTAAAAATATAATATAAGCTCTGGCAGACTTGGTTCTATGGTAGGTCTTAAAGGGTTAATGCTCAACTCCAACATAAGAAAACTGAATATACAATCATAAACTTTTGCAGGCAGACAGAACACACAGCATAAGAAAAAGGTGAACCAATGTTAACAATGCGACAACAATTACCAACTGACAGGAGATTAAAACACACTGGCAGGAACATGAGGAAAAGAGGAACAGGTGGACACACAGCTGGAACTTATTAGGCAAGACAAGACAAGGAAGAGGAGAAGTGAGAAATGGAACGAAAATCATACATGATTCCAAACATTTTTTACAAATAAATAACTGAAAAGTGGGGTGTGCGTAATTATTCAGCCCCCTGAGTCAATACTTTGTAGAACTACCTTTTGCTGCAATTATAGCTGCCAGTGTTTTAGGGCAGTGGTCCCCAACCCACGGGCCTTGGACCGGTACCAGTCCGTGAATCGTTTGGTACCGGGCCGCGAGAGTTGAGGCTCAGGTGTGAAATGTATGGTTTTCAGGGTTTTTATCATTTTCAGCGTTATTTTGTTATCGTTAACTCGGTTTTCCTGGGTCTTTTCACGTGTGTTATGAATAAAACTTTTTTTTCGGTACCGGTACTAGTTTTATTTTGTTGTATTTATCCGCTACACCTTAACCCTTTAAGACCTACCATAGAACCAAGCCTGCCAGAGCTTATATTATATTTTTACATGCTGTGGAGCCATTTTTGGGAGCATTTCAAGTTGCTATACATCAATACAACCATTATAGCCCAGATTTTAATAATATGTATTCATTAAGTGCATAGTAATTACATAAATTGCAAAAAA